TTTTAGTGATCTACTTCGAAAAGTCTTCATTCTGGTTATCGATAACTTGATCTATCATCAAGTAATCGATCACTTTTTCGATCAAACTAAACCAGAATGACATTTTGTTCTTCTTACTGATAAATGATTTCGGCACAAATCCTTGAATGATAGATTAGCTTTCTGTCTGTATTCAAGATTTAAGCACTCACCACAAAACTCTCATATGTTCTAAGTTTGAAATATGCAGATTAATGAAAAAACGAGTGCAACGGCTCTTCAACGGGATTACGTAGACTACGACCTACAGTGTCAGAAACTCAGACGCATTAATGGCGGAGCCGTTAAAACCAGTGAAACACGCAAACGAAGTCACAACGGCTAGAAGCCTTCCGTCTAACGGCTATTTAACGAGATCAACTATAAAAGGCGCGAAGAGGCATTAATGAAGAGATTGAATACCCGAACTACCACCTGCGATTATTTAGTTACGCATTCAATACTCTGTTTTTACGATACTATTGAGCATCAGTGATTATCATTGAATTCACTCTGTAAGAGAGCCATTCACTACTTTCTTTAAAAACTTGAGAGACACTCAAGAGTGTGGACTCTTGAGAGGGGTTGTATCCTTACGGGAGTAAGGGGGAGTGATTGAGCGATTCAATTACTGTACCGAGGCACCAAGAGCCCTGTCGATCTTAGAAGATAGTGAAATACTCAGAGGTGTTCTAGGGACTGGAAGTAGGTCACGTGGATTAGACCGAACCAGTATAAATCTTGTGTCTCCTCTCTGCGGTTAAAATTCTCCTTACTCTGACTCTCTGTTTTTATTTAATACTTGCACGCATTTAGTTTTAAGTTTTTGTAACTCACCCAATTCACCCCCCTCTTGGGTGAGATTGTTTCTAACAGAACCTTTCTCAATCTTTTTGTCTGGCTCCTTCTTGATGCTATTCCTTCCCCTCCCAACCCTGGTTCCCTTCTTTCTTTCTTCCTTTCCTTTTTCACTTAGCCCTTGTTGCCGTCAGATGTCACTAGGTCCCATCCTTATGGCTGCCTCAACCTACCTCTCCACCATCTCCTTCCATACTCTCCTCTAACTTTGAGAGAATCTCAAGTATAATCTTGTCTCTGTCACTCTTTGCTCTAGCCTCATCGTCTTCCTCATTACTCTCTACTTCATTAGTCACCCGCAAGCTTGTGCCTCATCAATTTCAACTGTTTTAAGCCCGAGTTGGAGAAGATTTGCATTAAGGAGATCTTCATGGAGAGATCTAGTCTTGCGGGATCATTTGTAGAGGAGAATTTAGGGTTTGAGAAGAAGATTTTGGAGAGGTTGAGGTTATGACAAAAAACACATTTGCCGCTGACGATGATGAGTATTCCATCAAATCCTTGTACAGCGGCAGCGAGGAAGGAGGTAGAAAAGGGCTATTGATGGGCTTTTTGGAGAAGATGGGAGTGAAGGCAAAGGATATTAGGATTTTGGTGGTGCATCGTAGCTTTTTTAACCCTATGCCTTCTTCATTGGCCATGACTGTGAACCATTACAAGCACAAAAGTAATTTTTTGAGCTTCAATCTTGGTGATATGGGTTGCAGCACTAGCTCACAAAAATAGCTCTTATAGGTAAAATTCATTTCTCAAACTCCATCTTCGTTTCCTCTTATCCATTTCAACATTAAATTATCCTTTCAACCTCCTTCAACGTTTTTCAATCCAAAAATTTTGAAAATAATGACTCATGAATAATACCCTAATTCAACTCATGGTGCTTGTAATCTGGTCCAAGTTTTATTTTATTTTTGGGTGACTATAATGACTTACAATCCTTATCTTGTTTGGCACTTATATTTGTTTATGTGAATTTTTGAGTAAACTAAAATACAAGAAGGGGGAACTAATATTCAAAAGTTTCTTACATTTTTAAGTTGTTGAATTGTTGTTGTTTCTTTGGTTCTTAAATGGTCATGTGCCTTTTGTTCGAAGATACTTTAAGGGTCCTGAACTTTTACTTGATTTGCAAGACTATGACTCCTCATTAGACATATGGAGCATTGGCTGCATGTTTTGTTGGAATTGTGAGGACTATGGTTGTATGTTACTGGATTATATATAACATGCCTTTGGTGTTATTCATGTGGAAAATCTAGTCTGAATTGTCTATGTATAGAGAGAAGCGTAATTTGTGTTATGATTTTTATACTTAAATGTAAATATTTTGAAAGGAACCATTCTTTTATGGGCATGACAACTATGATCAACTTGTGAAGATGGCTAAGGTAAACATTCATGGCTATACGCTTTGTGCAAGTCGAGTGCAGCTTATTGTCATCTTTTAGATTTAGGCTTATGTTAAGTTTGGTTTTTTTTTTTTAATGTATACAGTGTTTACCACCAAAAGATATTAATTTGTTGTCCCTCCTTCCAATGAACCTTTGTAACTTATAGCCTTTTTCAGGGGTAATATGCAAGTGCTTGGAATTGATGGATTGAATATTGTAACGAACCAGCTTCATGGTAGATAGATTGGATTATGAAGAGGGTATTATTGGGCTAATGAACTTGGTCATAGGCAGGGAAGAGAGATAAAGAAGACATATATAGACAGAGAAATGGCTATCAAGAGTATGGAATGATTTTTGACTCTTCTCCCTCTGAACCTTCTTCTGTCACTTCTTTTCCCCTTTACTACTATATTTTCTATTTGTATTGGAAGGTGCTCTGATTTCCTTGTGTTTATTAGCACTATGACTACATAATATAACCTATTCGAATCCATATATGAGCATATCATTCTATCGTGTTTCTATCTGTCTTTTTGATCGTTACAAATGCATATCTGAATAAGTATCATCTAGAGCTTGATCCTCAACTCGATGCACTTGTTAGAAGGTACTATATATGAATTGCTTGTTGTGATATTTGTATAGGTGTGTAAAAAAAAAAAAAAAAAGGGCATCACATTAATTCATAATGTGGGAGTTAGAATAAGTACATTCTTAATAAACCGTTTCACAAGAAGAATCTGTTTAATCCTAGGGAGTGCTGCATCCTCGTGTACCCGCGGTGGTTGCAAAATAGCTCTTTCCTTGAGGGGCTATCGCCAACAATAGTTTCTTTACAAGATTTGCTTCCTCCGTTATGTTTTCCAGTTGATAGATAAAGAAATAAGAATTTGTAGGCTGTTATTTTGAAGACCCTTCCTTCTAATTTCTAGTAGCTTGATATTTTTGCAGGATATATTTATTGCCAAGGAACTTGCACAAGAAATAGAGTTGAAGATTAATGTGGTTGCTTTAGTGGAACTTAATGTATAAAGAAGCTTAAAGAGTTGTATTATAATTTAGTCTTTGTTAGTCATAAATTTATTTTTTAAATTTCACAGTGTCGTATTTTGTGGAATTGGAGAGTGAATACAATTTATATTAGTGATTGCAATTTTTTATAATCAATAATGGTTTGTTGGTTGCAAAACTGTTGGTTTTTATGTTGTTTATTTATACAGATTGATATTTATATTCATACAATGCAAATGTTTTTTTTAAAAATAAATATATACTTTTACTTGACAGTTCTTGACAAGACCTGTCAAATAAAGGTATTGTTCACGAGAACTATCAAGTAAAGTAAAGGTATGTTTACTTAAAAGTTATTTATAAGAATTTTTATTTGACAGTTCACAACTGTCAAATATGCTGTTAGGAAATATATGATATGTGTATATTTGAAGGTTCAGAATTGTCAAATATATGCAAAAATAACTGTCAAATATTAACAATTATTAACAATTATCTGGTACTAATTATTGAAGGGATATCCTAGGAAAAAAAAACATAATTATTTTTATAAATAATTAACTTAACTGATTTTTCTTAATCTTTATAAATTAATTATCTAATTCTTTTATCTAAGACCGTGCTTATAAGTGTTTTCATTTACAAATCAATTTTCAAATTGAATGTACATTTTTTGGATTGGTTAATTTTTAATCTAATAACTGATTTTCATTTGTTATCGTTTGAATATTTATTTCAAGAATAAATGGTTGATATTTTTTGTTTTAAGAAGTGAAAAAATAACTTTCAAGTTATGAAGTTCAAATAAACGATAGGTATAAAAATTTTAAGATATTAAACATGAATAATTTAGATCTACCCAACATGCATTGCATTTGAAAATGTCAATTATCGCTCTAGGGCTTGGCTATGCATATTAAGAATTTTTGAGAAGTACAATATCAATATGATTAAGTACTGAATGTATTAATTTCTTACAATTAATAATTCCTGATGGAACCAAATTTGATTAATGTATGCAAATAAATGCAATCGTAAATTAATAAAATAGATAAAATATTATTTTACATTTGATAATTGTCATACCATAATTAATAGACATAACATTTGAAAATATATTATTGATAATATCATTGTGCTTATAAAAATCTTAATACAAAAACCAGAATTCAAATTAGACCTTACCAATGGCAATGGGTATAAGAGCTTCCCATGATTTTTTTTTTTTAAACACACAAAAACCACCTTTTTTATGGAATATATGTATCAATTGAAACTATTTCAATATATTAAAATATTGAAAATAAAAAAATTTCTTTCTTAATAATTAATAAATTAATATTGAGATTGAAATTGTGTTTCATGCCAACCGGTATTAAAATGAAGTTTTATCTCAGAAAGGGATTCCTTTAAGACAAATTGAAACGATGAAAGAGAAAGAAAATCACAAAAAAACACATTGACGTGTACTGAAATTTGCTTTCTTATATCTTATTCACAGAACAAGTCAAACGTGCAAGAAAAAATAATAATTTATTCGCTGAAAAAAAAAAGATAAACAAAAACGTAAACGTTCCAAGAGGTTCTTATTTAAATCCTAATCATAACTTTGTCCAAATGTCTGCCTAAAGACAAATCTCTAGCCTTTTTTTTTTTGACCAGAGACAAATCTCTAGCTTTGCATGTATGAATGATTACTTCTTTTATATATAAACAAAGCATCAAATTCTTTTGTGTAAGAACGGAATCAGATTCAGCTGACACAGAGATTCCTTTACTTTTAGAAGAAAGATTCAAAATTTAAGAAACTAAAAGGGTTGATTCCGTTCCCTTATAGAGAGAGAAGCCATGGATGAACGATCCAGGAGCAAAAAATTCATGCCTGCTTTGTTTTGTTCCGTGGCTTCTAACAGTGTCCAAGTACTGATACGAAGATCGATTCTGAGGCTAACCTTGTTCACTTTTATCCTTATCTGGTTTTTGTATGCTCTTTTCAATGCCATCGCCTTCTTCACCCCTGTTTACGATGATTCCACCAAGCTCGACGCCACTTTCCCTTTCAATTCCGACGACTCCGCCGTTGCCGTCACCCAAATTTCAGGCGAGAATTTCCCTGGAAAATCCCGCGTCAAAGTCTACCTTTATGATCTGCCGACGAGGTTCACCTATGGAGTCATCCAGTACCATTCCTTGGTCCGAGGTGGACGTGCCGTCGAAGACGTGACCACCCTCAAGTATCCAGGCCACCAGCACATGGCGGAGTGGTACCTCTTCTTGGATCTCATCCGACCCGAATCCGAGCGTGTCGGATCTCCCATTGTTCGGGTCTCGGACCCTGAGGAGGCGGACCTGTTCTATGTGGCTTTCTTCTCTTCTCTGAGCTTAATCGTGAACCCAACTTTGGTTCCTGTTGAGTCGGACCCGGAGAAGCCGACATATAACGACGCAGAGAATCAGCAGGCTTTGGTGGAGTGGTTGGAGGAACAGGAATATTGGAAGAGGAACAATGGAAGGGACCATGTGATTATAGCTTCAGATCCGAATGCGCTGTACCGGGTCATGGATAGAGTGAAGAACAGTGTGCTTCTTGTGGCAGATTTTGGGCGCTTGCGACCAGACCAAGGATCCATTGTTAAGGATGTCGTCATACCATACTCACATCGACTCAGAACGTACAAGGGTGATGTGGGGCTTGAGAATCGTAATACGTTGTTGTTCTTTATGGGTGCCCGATACCGGAAAGAGGTAATAATCAGTCTTCCCTATGCATGATGCTTATGAATTTCTCTGACATTCAGCATTTGATATATTTTTAGTATTACTTATGTTAGGTTCTTGAGCTTTCATGATAAGGTTTAGAAATGTGCTTAGCAAGTTGTTCTTTATATGATGCAGCATTGCAGATGAATTTGAGTGAGATGTACCATTACTCTGTTTTTTTTTTTGAATTTTAGTTGCTTTAAAATCTTTGGCGGTTAGGATAAGGATTAGAAATGTGTTTGAGATTCATAGGATTGATATATCTGTATAGCTATAACATTGTTAAGTGATCGTTCTTGAGATGAGGTGGGTCTATCTCATAAGAGATTTGGCATGGTCATTTTAATGTTTCTCCGGTAATAGTACGTTTTTAATTGTTTTCCCAAGGTGCAAGGAGGAAAACATGATATGCCAAGTTTTATAATAAAATGATGAACTATCTACATAATCTTTCGTCGTACGTGGTTTACCCTGTGATGCAATCAATCCTGTTGTTCCTCAATAACCAGCGTAAGAGTTTCGGGCAAACCTTTGGTTGACTTTATGCAGAACCCGTTCCAACAGATACAAGAATTTGTTTGTTTACTTCTTTGGTTGAAACTAAGGATTTTACGCTTTGGCATTTGTTTATTCCAAATGGAAAAGGGACATTTAACAGCCTGGACGTATGAACTGAGTGAGAGAAAACCTTCTTTTATTTTTTATTTTTTGTTTATTTTTGTATGTTGTATTTGGAAAGCAATGCAAAGCATGGGATTCATTATAGAATTGGAGTATTAGAATCCCTTCTTGTCGTTGGAGATTTTGATTAATGACATATCCTATCTATTATATATTGCGTATTTGGAAACCCCTAAATGCACGTTTGCAAGTTCTATCAAGTTGTTATTGGATCTTGAGCAAATGACCGTTTCAAACACTGGGAAAACGGGTTTCTGGAAGTTTCCCAGAGATGCTTATGGATGTCTGTGTCTAAAATTATTGTTCTGATTTCCAGAACTCCAATTAAAATAGCTACAATGTTTATGTCCCTCGTCTGCATGGTATTTGTATATGTTTTAATATAAAGATTGATCTCCTCCGTAATGTCTACATCTCTGCTGTCTTAGTTTCATAGAGTTCATAAACATTTTGATGGCACGACCTGCCGTTCTTTTTTCCTGTTGTTGGGAAACCTATTGCTGGGCACGGTGAAAGCATTCTTGACCATGGTCATAACTTTTAATGCTGCGTCAAACTCCTTGGATTATCATTCATTAGCGTTAGTTACCTTCTAGGAAGTCTTCAAAATTTATCCTCAGAACAGATGTTATCCTGTCTAATCAAATCCAAATCCAACTCTTTCTGCAAATAGATTTTGATTTGAATATTATTACTGTGTTTATGTTGAAACTTCTCAAATTACCGGTATTCATGGGTAGGCTTCAGTTGTTAATTTTGTAATAAAAGTATATCAATGATGGGTTTGATTTTCCTTTTGCCGCATGTATAGTCATAAAACTGATATATCTCCTTATTTAGCTAACGTTATACCTGCTATAGGCGTTGCACACTCCTATTTACTATCTATCTAAATGGGGTTCCCATTTTGAATTTAATCCGTATTTCCCTTTGTGAATATTTGATAGTAACATATCATGACAATAATTTTCTTTGATGCATATATGCTCAAATTAGAAGAATAACTGCTTTGATGCAGGCATTTTATTTTGGACATTTGCCTTCCTGAACTGAAATATCGATTTCTTTATGGTCTCATCTTTTAATAGGGAGGTAAAATTCGTGACAAACTCTTTCAAATTCTTGAACATGAAGAGGATGTCATAATAAAGCATGGAACTCAGTCCACAGAGAACAGAAGGGCAGCTTCAAAAGGAATGCATACATCAAAGTTCTGTTTACACCCTGCTGGCGATACCCCATCAGCCTGCCGACTCTTCGATGCTATTGTCACTTTATGTGTTCCAGTGATTGTGAGTGACAGTATCGAGTTGCCCTTCGAAGATATCATAGACTATTCGAAGCTGGCAATATTTGTAGACTCTGCTTCTGCTATAAAACGTAGATATCTGGTGTCAATGTTGAGAGCAATAACCCCAGAGAGAATCCTGGAGTATCAGAAAGAACTTAAAAAGGTTGGTTGTGCTTGCATTATTATTATTTCTTTTCCTTGTACCTTGTTAGTGATACTGCTGATGACTTGTGCCTGTTGTTCGTTTTTCTAATGGTATTTTTAGTATGATTCAACAAAGAAATTTCAGGATTAAAAATGGAAGGTATAGAAGTAATTGCTTTCTGAAAATTTGACAAATGCAATGTACATAATGAGGAGGAGACTTATTGCGTCCTAGAGTTCTAAGGGGACATGGTCAAACCTGTAATTGATTCTGGAATTAAATGGAACACGTACTGTTGCTTGATTATTACAGCTGGGGTTGGTTTAAGAGGTTAATTAGTTAGTTAGTTAGAAAGGCTACTAGTATAAACAGAGGATTAGTGAATGTATTGGGGTGTCAAATGAATTGATATTTCTCTGTTTCAATCTTTTTCTTCCTTTTCTTCTGTATCACATGCCCTTTTTCTTACAAGAGTATTTTTTCGAACTCTTCCCAGAGCGTATGAGCCTCATAATTTATTGGTATATTGTGATAACCTGTGGATGAAACAAGATATTTTCGTTGATATTTCTGTTTCTGCTTAATTGACCACTTACACAAGGCCCCCTTTTTGCTCCAATTCTTTTGTTCTCATTCTCTGCTAAAGGTGCATAATTAATCTGAATTTCCAATCCCTTATTATTTTAAAATATCACTTGGATTTCTGGTTTTCAATACTACCTCCGATGCTTAATATAAGATCTACTTTATAATACCTATTTCGGAATTCAAATTACTTTAGTCTTCCTATATGATGGGAAATCCTAATACACAAAGGACCTAAAAGTTTTATACACTGGGGAACAGAAAATTATACGGGGTAAAGAAGGGAGTCTTGATTAAGCAGCAGGCATTTGAAGAGTAGTTAACAACTTGGCAAACATTTGGCTCCAGTGTCTTGAGTTGGAAAGTATGATAGTTTGTTAAGGATGCTAGTTGTGGTCACGTGTTACACAGAATCTGAAAAATAAGTTATGTTATTCATAACTCATGAATAACATAATTTATTAGAATTTTTATAACATGCGCCCTCTGTCTTTATTTATAAGCACCTATCAACAAATTTACATAAATTAAGAAAGTTAGTTAAAATTAGTTATTTCTTGTAAAATGTTAAAATTACCAGTAGAAGAAGTCATTAGTTAAAAGAGCTTGTTCAACTACTTAGAAAGTTTTATAAATTGTTAAGGATGCTAGATGGGAAAAATTATTACGTTGGGCAAAACATGTTATGTTAAGAGGCATATTAAAAGTTCTTATAATGATGACCAAAGGGAATATATAAATATTGTGATAGAGTTTGTAAGGCTCCCATCTCTGTATTGCTTTATTCTGTAGCTAATGAATTTTGTTAAAAAAGAAACTGTATTGGAGGAAGAGATTGTTGTTTGCCTCAACTGATTAAGAAAATAACACTAACATGATATGGCTTAGGTCAAGCGATACTTTCAGTACGAGGCAGAAGATGGAACAGTTAACGAGATATGGCGCCAAATTTCAAAAAAGCTTGATTTGATTAAGCTGATGATTAACCGTGAGAAGAGGATGGTCAGAAATGAACCAGATTGCTCTTGCATGTGTACAAACAAGACAGCCATTAGAACCTTGTAGCAATTTTCTCAGAGTGCTCCAAGCAGATGAAGGTTTCCTCTTCTTCCACATTCACACAATTCAAATCCAGAATTTGGCATCTATGCAGAAGAAGCCTGTAGCCCGGTTTTTTCCAATCTACTGAGACGGCAACATTTCATTGATGATACTGATAAGGTGAAGGATGACTCAGTCTGATGGCAAATTTTGGGTATTTTATAGATGATCACTATTTAATTTGGAAAACAGTTGAATATCTATGGTTGTATCTATCATAAAAAAGGTAAAAGTATACAGTCAATCCTTTCACTTTATATAATGTTTTAGTTTGATTCTTTAATTTTATAAAGTATTATTCAGTCCTCTAATCCTTGTATGATTAGTCTCAAATGATAATTTTTTGTGTCAATCGTTGTCATTTTAAAAAATTATATTCGATATCGGCAGTTTTTGTTAATGAAAACTAATGATATTGAGGTTAAGGTTAGAGGACTGAAAAGGAACTTTATAAAATTAAGCAATTAAATTAAAACTTTTTGTGGATTTAAAGGATTAAAAGGACAGTTTTGCGCAAAAAAATCAAAGAATTTTATAGTGCTGCTAAGTTCACTTGCTATGTTATAACTGGCATTCGTTTTTGTTGTAGATAATTCTATTGTATCAGGGATTAATTTGTACAGGGAAGAGAATAAAGTTATAGAGTTTTTTCTTACGATAAAAAATAAAAGAACATTTAAGTTGATCTCTGATTTGCAGGGCTCATATGTCTCTTCATGTGCGTTAATTTTACTTGTGCCTTGTTTTGTATTAAGTCAATTCATTATTTTGCTTAGTATAAATGTGTTCTCTTATATCTTTGATGAATTTTTCCTTAAGGTTAGTTCTATCAAATAATTTTTTGCTTATCCTAAAATTAAGAAATGTGTATGTAAAGGTTGGTACATTTAGCGTCATCAAGTATTTTTTTTCATGTGTATCTAACATTTTAAAGTATTTTGTATTGTATTAAACATCTTGAAGTATTTTTAGTGCAATTTTATATTTAACAATAGAAGATGTTGGATGCACTTAAAAAAATATTTCAATGTACTAGATGCATCAAAATATGATTGAGGGAGCTGGACACACTTGAAAAACATATTTTAAAGTATTGGATGCATTTTAATCTAAGAAATTATTTTAAAATTGGAAGGAGTAATAATGAAAATCATGGGTCATTTTATGACTTTGTGAATTCAAAAGAAAATTTCAAGTGGCCCGTTCAAAATTTTTGCTTTTTTGTAGCACGAGAAAGAATTTGCTTTTGTAGGAAAAGAGTACACGAATCTAATAAATCTCAGCCCACACGCATTCTGAAAATTTGTTGGGTTGGGCATTTTGGCCCAAAAAGGGATGTGGCAATTAAAACTGATACGGAAAATGGCCACCAATGGCTTCTAATCAAGTTGACGGCCTTTTATTTTTAAAACATTTTTTAAAAGCTTGAGGAATTAAGGAAATTGAGTAAAAAATACTTTCATTCACCTGATAAAAATATCTCTTAAAAACTGATGCGTTGGCTCATGTACGAAGGACTCTTCCCCCCCCCCCAAAAAAAAAAAAACTAGCAAAATAAGCAAGAATTGCAGCAATATGAAACCGGAGGAAAAAAATGAAGCGATATAATTTCAGAAATAAGACGCATGTATGATGGGTAATATATATGTACAAAATTTGCCAAATCCTTGATTTGTGTCATGGAAACGATACGCAGGATGATGCTAATCTTCTCTGTATCATTTTAAGTATGTGAAAGGATTTGCCATTTGCCAACCTTGGATGCACCTCCAAAATGGTGGAGGGTGTGTGATTTCATTCCATGTGAAGAAGGTAACTAGGGGTGTTTAATTAAGAAAAATGCTAAATTATGTGACCTCCCGTCTTCAATATAAAAGTTAATTTGTAATGTAATTTAAACTACAAACTGGTTCTTATATTTGATATCGAAGGTAGTACAAATTCCTCTTAATTTTATCTTGTATGTTAATAATTTTCTTGATTTTTGACTTTATATTAAATCTTCCTGAATTCTTACACACGCATTTATATAGGTACACACATAATTTTCACATTATTAGTTTTGTTTATTATTTATTTGCAAGGACCTTAAAAATCTAGTGTTTATCTGCATATGGTAGTCATATACATCATAGTGATCACGTTCAGCTAGAAGTGGATGGCTCAATTTCAAGCAACAAAAGAAGTGGGTGTGATGGGGTCATTAGATATGCTGAAAACAAATGGATATATGGTTTCAGTTGTAAGCTTATGACTGTTCCACCTATGATTGCGGAACTTCTTGGTATTATAAATGATTTCAACTTGTGTTGGCAAAAAGGATTAGGAAAAATTGCCATCTATTATGATTATATGAATGATGTTAATTTTATTTTGAGAGGATGTGATGATAGCCACCCTTTTAGGGATAGTTGATGACATTAGATTATTGTTTCATAAGGAATTGTAGGTAAAATTGTATCACATTAGTAGATAAGAGGTTAATTTTTTTTAATAGGCTAGCTAAGTTATTTGATATGTTAGAGGGTAATTAGTGTCTCCTGGATCATACGGCAGCTAAAAAGAACTATTCACGGCCGTTTTAGGGGCAGCGTCAAAATTGTGGACGTAATAAACTAACGGTTTTATGATGGTTATAAACTGTAGTGAAAAGAAACTTTCCAATGGCCCTTTTTCTGCTAAAAGCCGACGTGGAAAGTCCTCCATAATTGGCGTTATATGGAAAAATTTTCAGTGTTGTTTTGTCAAGGTTAATTAAATAACCGATGCAAAAAAATTTCAATTTTTGTATATAATTTTGTTTCAATTAGTATATAACTTTTCTGCATTGAACCAAATCAAAATTGACTAATTTTTAGCCAGCAAACCAAACAGAGCTATGCAATAAGTAATTAGGAAACTATCATAAACATTCAATTTTATTCCAAAATGCAATTCAGTGAACAATTCAACTAAAATGATTACACTGAATTCAAGTAAAACTCAATGGACAATTCAATATCAAAAACATATTCAACTAAACTCTATTTAACTAAACCTAATAAACAATCAATATAAAAAATTTGACAACTCAACTAGACTACTTGTTTATCAACTCATCAACTCAACTATTATTTTTGCCAAAACATCCTTCATTGAGTTGATATTTCTCGTTATTTTGTTTTTTTTTTAGCCGAATATTTCTTGTTATTTTGATGCCTACAAATTAGAAGGAACAAAATCATTAGCCAAGAATTAAAATTCTGAAAACAATTGAGGAATCACAAAATAAGTTGTGTAATTTCTATTTAGCTCATTTAGTTTCTCAGTGACACCTATTTCGATTATGTCATTCATAGAGTGGACCGCATAATATCTATACTCAACATAATGGTATCAACAAAATGAAAAATAAAATTGTATAAGTTAGAAAATATTTATACCTAGCAAATTTATTAAGCATAGAACTTAGTTCAAAACAACTTACTTTTGGGATAATCCATGTTAATGGTGGATGACCAATTGAGATAGAAGGCTTTTTCTGTTTGGTCACTATATTGAATCCTTGAAGAGCCTTATCAACAATCAGGAGAAAAAAAACATGTTATAGCACACTATTTTAAACTTTAAACTCAATAAATTTATAAGTATAAACTCACGTCTCGATGACATTCTTAGTTTCATCTTGTGGCACTCCAAATAGGGAATCGAATTAGTATACAGTGTTATCATAGGGGGCAAAAACAAGAAGAGTCAAATGATAACTATACAATATAAATCATGTTAATTATTATAATAATATTTGTGTGTGTGGAAAATACAAAGAGTATACTTGCTTTTCAACGTAAGGTGCAAAATATATTGTTTTCTCGCTTTAGGTTATTGTGGTCATCATGTGTACCAATCCCGCTCTTGAATTGTTTGATGTTTTTCTGCACTTTTTGCAAGCATATGAAGCCATATTAGCCCTCGTTTCCTTATTCCCTGCAGGTGTGACTAAGGTGTTTGTTGTTCAAATGAGTAAGAAGTTAGAGCACACATAAGTATAACATAAAATATGAAAATAAAATTTTAACTCACAAAATGGTAAGATGTATGAAGACTGGATCAAGCTCCTTAAAATTTAGGAACTCAATGAGGTCTTTTTAGTCAATGGTGAAGTCATAGGTTAGTTCTAAACCTACAATCCCAAACGGCATATTAAATGAAAGTGCGTCCTCCATTTGGCCCACCATAGCATGAAGCAACAATAGACTTTTAAATCTTGAGGCAATGTCTGCATCAAGGGGCTTAAGCATAGGAGCTGCCTTTTTTATAGTTCTTTGTCACTAACTTCTTTGCTGTTGCTGGTTTTTTGACAAGTTTTTTCAGTCACAGAATGAAATTTTCTTTAGCTTGGGCTAGTATTCAAATCTCATCAGTAGGGCTAGACACTGGTATACAACCTTGACCGCTACAAACTTTATCCATTGTCACCCTCACTTGATCCTTGGGAACTTTTTTGTCATGGATTGTTAAGCCTATGTATGCTCGACCATCAATGATGGGGCGAGGGTTATCAATGTCCATAAAAAGAATAGCTGTCCATTGTCTTAGGTATGGTTAGGGCTAAGGTTTGGGTCAGACGATTATAACTGTAGTGTCTGATTTTTACTACCCTTCCTAATTTTCACCATATAGGTGAACCCTAAATTATGAAAAGAAATTACTCAACACAAATTAAATAAATATAAACTAATTGAAAATCTTGAAAAGAAGTTATTATTACCTGTGATGGTTCAGACACTCAAAGGATTTAGAATACGATTGTGTCCATCATCATCATAGCTTGTTAAAACTTAGCATCAAACGCCTCACGCATATTTTGCATATTTACTTTGTGCTCTTGAATAAGTTGAGCTCAAACCTTCTCTATTTTTTCTTGTAATTGTTGGTCAAGGTCTTCTTTGGACACCATACTAGTGGAGGATGCACTAGTGCTTAGTGAATACACTATTGGCTATGGTTTAAGCACTTGACACAATGACAATAATATAAGCTATCACTTTTATTAGGGGTATTTTTTTAAGTAAACTCAATAAACTTTTCAACCATATCTTCATATTGTTTGCTAATTATCATACGATCCATTGTTCTACATATTCAAAGATTATAGATGTCAAACTTAACTCTAGCTACTTAATTCATATATTTAAATAAATCAAATAATTAAGTATTAGTCAATAAATCAACTTGACTAATACTTAATTACAAATTAAAGGAAATGTCTTGTTTATTTTATAAAAGATTCGATAGAGTTTTTTC